CTCTTGGATATTGTCCCTTTTTGGTTTCAAGAATGGATTTTTATGGTTCAAATCCGTTTCTGGACTTAGGGTTACCACCCATGAAGCTATTTAAGTCCTTTAGGCAGGAAAGTTGCCATCTTTAAGGTCCTAATGGGTTCATGCAAGAGTTGTGGTCATCTTTATGGAAGTTTATGTTTATTTCTTGAGATCGGGACTTTTAGGGGCATGCAAAGTCAGCAAGTCCATGACTTTATGGTTTTAGAGGTCTTAAACAGCTTGGATCTATGTTTGGATAGCATGGCTTAAGCATTAAGTGCTTAATGGCTAGTGTTTGGAATCTGGACATGAACACGCTGCGTTCTCGCTGATACTCGTGACCAGGATTGCGAAGGAACACCCAATGTTCCACAAGGGAACGCCCTGCGTTCTTAAGTCAGTGGGCCTTTTTGGGCCATTTCATTATACTAGTTGATTATGGGCCTTAATGGACTATTCTGTTGGACTGTTAAGGGACTATATTATATGTTGGGCTTGAGGGAAGGCCCTTTTGAGAAATTGGGCCCAATTTAGAAAATTAGGTCATAAGTGGGTCGTTAGTGGGCTTGGAAAGAGTATATGGATTTGGGCCTAGGTCATGGACCAAATTAGATCAAGGGTAAAATTGTCATTTTACCCTAAGGAGGATTAATGGTTTTTGGACTAAGTGTTATCTTGGTACTGTTAGCTCGGGGAGTCGAAGGAGCAGCAGTTCGAGGAATTTCCAGTTAGCAGCCAGAGGATTATCTACGGGATTTTTGCAATACGAGGTGAGTCTTCTCACTGTTTTTATGGGTCTAAGGCACCAATGTCGTCCCATTTAGTTTTTGTATGATAGGAAGACCTGGGGGTTAGCCTTAGGCATTATGCATGAAAGACCAGGACACGGCTCCTAGCACACACTATGTTATTATGTATGGTAGGAAGACCCGGGGGTTAGCCCTAGGCAATATGTATGAAAGACCATGAGGTGGCTCTTGGCACACTGTATGCTATTATATATGAAAGACTAGGATGTGGCTCCTGGCACATTGTATGTTGATTAGATAAGTAGAGTAGTATGTATGTTGGTTGTCTTTGTGATGCTTGCATGGAAGACCAAGAGGTGGCTCTTGGCACTTGTCTGTAAGACCGAGCGGGTCGCCCCAAGCATGGCAAGAAAGACCACATGCGGCCCGTGGCATAACAGCAAGACTATGTTTGGCACATAACACCTTACTTGATTATGGATATGTTTAATATGTATGGCTCATAGTATGTATGGCATGTATGTCAGTTGATATGTATCCCCGGTTTTGATTGCAAGCATCCCCGGTTTCTCTTGAGTTTTAAGGTAACGAGACACTAACCGGAGACGAGGAATAAACGGACGGGAAGACATCAAAGCGGATGGCTTTGATTTGATTTGTTTTGCGGGTGACGGAAGATGGTAAAGGTGGTTATGACCTTGTCTTGTTGTTTGGTGGAAGAGTGCTCTCAAAACAAGCTTGATTAAAGAGTTCGGGGTTGTCAAAAAGAGAATAAGATGCCGTTGGTTACAGAAGGAGGTTCGATAACGTATCAAGTTCCGGTTTTGACTCCAACGAATTCTCCGATGTGGGCGGTCAAAGTCAAGTTGATTATGGATGCACACGACATATGGGAGACGATTGAACCGAAAGCGTTAGGTGAAACATCGAATCAAAAAATCAAAACAAACTCTTTCTTTTCTAGTGTTCAAGCGATACCCGAAGACATGGTGTTGCAAATGGGGAGTTACACCGATCCAAAGGAAGTGTGAGATGGGCTAAAACACGGTATTGGGGAATGGATCGGGTGAGAACAGCTCGGCTTGCCACCTTAAAGAGGGAGCTTGAATGTTTGTGTTGAAGGACGGTGAATCGGTCGATGATTTTGTGACAAAATTATCCCGATTAGCTTCAAAAGCAAGGAGTCTTGGTTACGAGCTTGAAGAAGTTGATTTGGTGAAAAGGGTACTTGATTCGATGCCTAAGTAGTTTCTTCAAATTGTGGCTTCAATAGAGCAATGTTTCGAGTTGGATTCAATGTTATTTGATTAAGCGGTTAGTAGATTAAAGGCGTGCGAGGAGTGTATAAGAGGAACTGAGAAAGTGGAGGACACTCAAGGTGGGTTGTTATTGGCTAGTGAGGAAAAATCACATGTTTGTAAGCATCGTGGCAATGGACATTCAAATCGAGATGACTTTGGACGTGGTTGGGGATCCGGAAGAAGTCGAGATGGCAATGAACATGTCCGGGATAAAAGTCACGTTAAATGTTACAAATGTGGTGAGTTTTGTAACTATAGTAATGAGTGTCCTAAATGTGAGAAACAATAGGCAAATTTACTCAAAGAAGAACTGTCATTGTTTTAAACGAGTGGCTAGTATCACCAAACCGATTAAGGGGATGATTGTTGGATTAATCAGTTGGAGTTTTAGTTTTAGGTATAATAGGAAGTTTTGTATTATTTTAGAATTAGACTAGATTCCTAATTCTTCTAGTATAAAATAGGTGTCAATGGTGATTAATTTAAAATATAATTTCAAGCACTTCTATTTCTTTTAACTTTGTGAGAATGTAACTTTTCGTTCCCAAATTTTTTGTCCACTGTTTTGTTTTGTTTCTGCACGAAAGAAATTGTTTTAGTTTATTTACTTACATAGCGTTGTTGTGGTTGTTGTCATACAAGATCTACAAAGATGAAAAGTGAAATGGACCAAACTCAAGACTGGATTAAAAAACAACACAAGCCCAAATACTCTTCTCCAAAATACGAGGCTCGCATTAAGAAACCCACAAACAGAAATATAAAAGATACCAGTTCCATTTTCTAAAACATTTTGCTTTCTATGTTTCCACAACAACACTACCCCGATCCGATAAGAATGAGGTTGCACACCAACAATCAAATTGATATTATTCATAGAAACATGATAATTCATTTCAAGAGAACAAATAATAATCACTTCACCAGAAACCTGCCTTGTCGTGGCAGTGGTGGCGGCGGAGGCGGCAACACCACGGAAACAGATTCGTGTTTATTCCTCTCATGAAACCTCCTAATATAATCCGAAGCCTTTAAATTCGTCACTGAAGCCTTCATCTCATTTGTTTGCATACCACTATACCTACTTATATCATCTGCTATGCCAATGTCATGGTGGTCCATTCCCTGAATCTTGATGAAAGAAGAGCTCCCTCCTCCATCTAATCCATCCACATGGTGGCTATTTGGCGGTTTTGTGGTGGGGTTTTTGGGTTGTTTGACCATTGGGTGGTGGCTATGCGGCGATGAAAGTGAACTAGTTGACCTAACATCGGTTCCAGTGAGGGGGAATGATGACAGTTTGTGGAAGCTTCTCATGATTTGCATAAGCTTCTCACAGGGTGATCTTTTCTTATTAATGGACATGTTTGAAGTGGATTTGAGTAATATAAATAGAAACCAACATGTTTATTTATACAATCTGTGTTGGGAAGTTTCGTGTATGTAAAGACATTGAAAAAATAGGAATTATTCTGTGGGGTATATTTGTTGCTAAAACTAATTCCTTCAATGTATAATAAAAACAAAGAAAAAAAAAAGTGAAGGCCTTTTTCGTTTGTTGAAAAAATGAATGAGAAAGGCAAAGGGAAAGGAATAAACTTTTGAGAAACCACATCCATGGACAATGGAGGGAGATTGAGTTGTCATTTTGACATATAACACAAACTAAATGATTGAAATTTTATCAAAATAATCAAGAAGTCATTCGAAGCACGATTTCGACGATTGAAGTTTCAACTTCTTGGGTATTTTCCTTTTTGGGACTTTCGAGAAAAACAAAAAACAAAAACTAAATTTTATGAACAGGTATTTTTTGTTCCATTGAGACTTCAAACAAGATTCTTGAAATAATCTTTTCCATTTTGTCTAGTCTCGTTTTCAAAATCGCCTTCCAACACGTTTCTTTCAACATACTTTTAACATACATAAATGTTTCGTTAATTGTTAAACTCTAAATTGCTGTCTCTTTTTAACCTATGAAGGACATATCTTACGTGTTTTTCAGCCCTCCAATCCAACTCTTCCTAACTTTAGAGTTTCTAACACAAAACCAATTAAAAGAAAATGCTACTATATTGTCGAAAAGAAAATCCTTCTTGTACTTGTTTTGGCAAAAAATCAAAACATTCCACTAAATCCAAAGAACCCAAATGACTGTCATACATACCAAGTCCAAAGTCACACGCTTCAAACAAGCTACAGGCAAGTATCAATCCACTATGTCGCAGACAAGAAACAATCAAAAAGCAGAAGCTGTATTTCCACCCAATTCACAATATGTGACTAGATGAGAGAACACTTGAAGAACAAATGATTAACATCATCACTACAAACCAGGCACAATGTTTTTGAAACCATCGTGTCATTTTGTTGATGGTGTATAGAAGGGAGTTTAAGGTCCCATTTGGCATGTATCTGTATACTAAAAGATTTTGTCTTCAACCATGCAAAACCCTAATAATGGGGTTAGATTTGGCCATTTGGGTGTCTTAATTGCCCCAATTTGGTCAGGACTAACTTGTACTTTTTTTTAAACTATCATGAAAAAAAAATTATGGATAACTTTTTGTGTAAACCACACGGGTCATTTATGAAATCACGTTTTTTTTTACTTGTTCTCTTTCTTACGTCACACGAAGTCTTACCTACCTTTTAACCATGAGTTCCCGCTCACCCCACCCAATTCTTGTGGGTGTAAGCCATAGGGTAAGATCTATCAAATGAAAAGAGAATCGAACCAAACTCAGGATGACAGAAAAATACGATAAATGGCCAAAGATATTTTTCCAAAGAAAGAGGATGTGGCAAAAAAAAAAAAAAAAGATATCATTCCATATTGTAAACATCTTGCATTATACATATTTGCACACCAACAATCAAATCAATATTATTCATAAAACACGACGATTCATTTCAACAAAACCAGTAATAATCACTTCACGAGAAACTGGCGTTGCGGCAGTGGTGGTGGTGGTGGTGGTTGTTGTGGTGGTGGTGGTGGTGGCGGCGGCAACACCAACAAAACAGATTCGTGTTTGTTCCTCTCATGGAACCTCCGAATATAATCTGAAGCCACAAGATTCGTCACCGAAGCCTTTAGCTCACTTGATTGTATACCACTATACCAACTTGCATCATCTGCTATTCCAATATCAGAGTGGTTGTTGCCCTGAATCTTGATGAAAGAAGAGCTCCCTCCGCCATCTGAACCATTCGGATGGCGGCTATTTGGCGGTTCCCTGGGTTGTTTGACTGTCGGGTGGGTGGCTATTTGGTGGTGGAAGTACTGAACTACTTGATCCAACATCAGTTCCTTTTAGGGGACATGATGAGAGTTTGAAGAAGCTTCTCATTAGTTGCATAAGCTTCTCACACAATGATGATCTTTTCTTATTCATGGACATGTTTGAAGTGGATTTTTTAGTAGTATATATAGAAACCCACATGCGTATCTAAATAATTAGTGTAGGGACATTTCGTATTCGATAAGAAATAGAAAAGGGGTTATTCTGTGGGGCATATATATTGATTGCTAAAACTAATTGCTTCAGAGAGTATGAAAAGGTGAAGGCCTTTTTTTTTTTTTTGTTGAAAAATGAATGTTAAAGTGAAAGGGAAGGGGAAAGGAATAAACTTTAGTGAAACAAATCCAAATCCAAGGGAACCATATAAATGGTAAATGAAAAGTTACTATTTGTTAAATTTGTCGAGATTCTTATTTATTTTCATTCACTTCCTTACTTCTTATATTTGTTTTACCCTAACTATGACTAGTGTCTTTACACTTCTCAGTTACTTTTGTCAAATCCTTTTATACAAAGAAAAGTTACAGTTTTTAACAACCATTTTGTTTTACCAAACATATCATATATGTTGTGAGAGTGGTCCGGATAAATGATAGTTACAAAATATTTGAGAAAACGATTCAACTTTTCCCGGGTATATTTTCTTTTTGGATCTTTTGAATAAAGAAGCAAAAACTTAATGAGGTGAACAACTACATTTGATTCCATTTCAGTTTCAAGAGGAGACTTTAAACAAGATTCTTGAAATACTATTTCTGTTTTATCTGTTGTTTTCACAAATTTCTCTCAGCACGTTTCCTACAAGTTTATTCCCAAAATTATACATAAACGTCTACTTCTGTGTTTAATTGTAGATAATAAGAGACATGACTTAATCTCGTAAGCTATATATAACTTATATCTTTTTTTACTTAATAGCCAGTGATTTACTACTAAAAAATCGAAGACCAGATCACACAATTCAAGAAAAAATGATACCAAATATCAGCTTTCATTATAAAAGTTATCTAAATCCACATCATACCAAGATCCACAAAGGTTATCAAACAATTATATTAGTTAAAAAAACAGAGAACAAAATAACATAAATCAACAAGTCAAGAAATCAAAATATACCATCGTTCCCAAAAGCTAGTCTCTGTGATGATGATCTTTTGTCGCGTATTTCACCGGAATATCATCAAAGTGTCGCGAAAACCCATGTGCTTCCCCCAAACTTTTCAAAGACTGAAAAACATTATACATCGAAGGCCTTTCTTTAGGCCTCGAAACCACACAACTACAAGCAATCCTTAAAAACTGCAAAATCTCATCATCATGTCCTTTTCCACGTATACATTTATCAATCACATCCTTACTTTTCCCCGACCCCATAAGCCGATTCACCCACTCCGTCAAATGACCTTTATACCCTCCTTCCTCTCCGTTATTTACTTCAAGCGGTTTTTGCCCAGTTACAAGCTCCAAAAGTACAACCCCAAAACCATAAACATCACCTTTCATTGAAGCAACCATGGTGGATGAATATTCGGGGGCCACGTAACCGAATTCACCCAAATCACCGTTTTCAAATGAACTATTTTTGGAATCGCGGGCCCCCACGAGGCGGGCCAGCCCAAAATCGATTATCCGGGCTTCAAAATCGTCGTCCACCAGAACCACGTTTGAGCTTATGGTTTGGTGGAGGTAAGGTGGTTCACAGACATGGTGCAGCCAGGCTAAACCGCTGGCTGCACCAATACCGATCTTGAGTCGGGCTAGCCAGTCAAGATCGGTGGTGGTTTTGTTGGTGGTGTATAGAAGGGAATTTAAACTCCCATTTGGCATGTGTTTGTATACTAGAAGTTTTTCGTCTTCAACTATACAAAACCCTAATAATGGGACTAGATTTGGGTGTCGTAGTTGCCCTAATCTGTTCATTTCGGATCTGAACTGTTTCTCGTTAATTTTACAAGGGCTTAATCGTTTGATTGCTAAAACGGATCCATCCTGCAACATTGCTCTGTAACAAACCCCTGTTCTTGTCGTCATTTCGATGGTGTTTGGGTTGAAATTGTTGGTTGCAGCTAGTATGTCATTCAGTTTGATTTTGACGATGGGTTTTTGAAATAGTGATACCTGAACAAGCCTGTAAGATCTCAAGATATCAATCCAATTGCCTCGATCTTCACCACTGCCATCATCACCACTCTTTCTCCGATCAGTTCTCAGAAAGAACCACCACCAGATCGCAAACCCTAGAAATAAAGACGCAGCGGCTCCTAGAACCCCAGCCGCTATAATAATGGCGAGGTTTTTGTTATTCAAACTCCCGCATTTCGAATTAAGAGGTTGACCACATAATCGATTGTTTCCGGTGAAGGATTCGGCTTCAAACTTCGATAAATCGTCCGGAATGGAGCCGGAGAGTTCGTTGTTGGAAACGTCTAGCTTCTTGAGCCTCTCAAGCTGGCCGATCTGGTACGGAATCGTTCCGGAGAAACTGTTATCGGATAAAAGGAGGTTGTTTAAGAACTTACAGTTTTGAATCTCTGGCGGAATGTTTCCAGATAGAGAGTTTCCGGAGAGATCTAGGGTTACTAGATACGGCAACCATGTACAGATTTGAGGTGGAATGGAACCGGAGATCGAGTTTCTCGACAGATCGAGCGACTGCAGGGAACGGCAAAACTGTAGGGAGTCCGGTAACGAACCGGAGAGTGAAAACTCCGGGAGTTGGATGGAGATGAGCCGGTTTTCTTTCTCGTTCCAACACGAAACTCCGACGAGTTTGCATAAGGAGGTGACGGAGTCGTTGGTGAATGACCATGTGGTGAGCTTGCCCTGTGTGTCTGTGAGTGAGGCTTTCAAGCCTCGAAGGCACCGTACATCGTCTTCCATGGCGGAAACGCCGGCGACAATGGTGGTGGCGATGATGATGAATAGGAAAACGGATTGGACTTTCATGATGGGTGTTTGTGCTAGGGTTAGCTTTGAGGGTTGGGGTGGGAATGGTGGGGAAGCCATGGGTACTGCCATGGATGTGATGGAGTCTTGTTGGGATTTGGGAGGAGACAGATGACAGGGATGAGCTGTTTTGACTACTCACATCGCTGTTTGACTGTATTCTTTTTTAAGTCAAAGATTTTTCTTTTTGAAAGGAACGGTTTGTTTTGTGGTAAATATTTAGAAAGTTTTTAAAGACGGGGAAAACTACATAAAAACATGATTATTTATTTTTTAATATTTAAAAAAATCCTTACATTTTATTTATAGACAGTAAAAATCCTTATATTTTTAGTTATTTTTTTCAGATTTAACTAAATATTTGTTTTTTTAAAGAAGTTACATATTATTTTGTGACGTGACATTTATGGTGTTTGTTTTTAGGATGACATGGACAAAAAAAATAAAAAATGTCACTAACTTTTGTTTAAGTAAATGGTCACCGAGTAAAAGATGTATTTTTCATATTTTATTTTAGACAATGTCGATTATTTTTATTTTTATGTTAATGTAAAATGAAAAAGATAAATATCATATCATAAAATAACTAGTAATTTTTCTAAAAAACCGGATATTTAGGTTCATGTAAAAGGTATATGAAAATATAAGGGTATTTTTGTATATAAATAAAATATAATAGTTTTTTGAATGTTGATAGATAAAGATTATATTTTTCTACATTTTGCCCTGAAAGAAAAATACAAATTTGGTCGTTTGGTTATTAAACTTTTTGTTGTTTTAGTTTTAGTTGAAAATTTGTATTAAGATAAATGGTCCAAAATCATATATTTGTAGGAAACAAAATGTTTAACATACATTCATCATAGTTCAAAAAAAATATTAAAATGGGTTTTTATTATCAGTCACTGCAGATTAAGCTTTTAAAAGATTAATTAGATTAAACTCTTAAAGATTAATTACTAGGGGATTAAAATGAGTTTAAAATGTTTTACATTAGAACGGCAAATAGAACCTTTTACAAGAAAATTTATTCAATTCCACGTAACACCTCTTATTAGTGTTTGTACAAATACAAGGAAAAGAAAGATCATGGTAAAATTAATAGCCACTTTAGCTTCCAAGCTTCATCACACACTTGCTTGGAGATTTTTCCGTTTTGTCTTTAGATGGTAGCAAACCTACAATTACATCATATGACTTGGGGCACATCGGAGGGTCGATCCACCCAATAAATTTGCACTTTGAATTGAATTAGACACATAACCCAAATCTCCTTCCTAGGTTACGATTCATCGAACAAGTAAACTATATGTTGGGTTCCACAAGAACAAATCGCCTATTTCTCAATTGTATTTTTAGGGAAAGGTTTAAGTTTTGAGTAAAAATGAAAGGTCGGAATAATGTTTAAGATGCATGTGAAAGTTACATTAGTAATTTGGTATCATAAGAAGGGGGGTAAGGAAACAAGAAATTGCCCTCCCATGAGAGGCACGTATGTACACTAAACGACATAAAATAAAAGGAATGAACCTAAGTGACTAATGGTGCAACCGTTTGGAACCCTATGAGATATACACATTAAAAAAGGGTTTGAAAATGGAACTTTTTAGAAACCATAGGGATTATTTATAAAATTTAGCCGATCTTTTATTACTATTTGGAATTATGTAATAATAAATATATTTCTTAGAGTAAATTACATTGTTTTGCTAGTGTTTTACTACACTAATTTGTTAAAAAAAATTGTTTCATTCGTCGTGATTTTACTTCAATATTTGCTTAAAATTATTTGATTTTTATGGGGTTGTTTGAGGTTTATTTGTAAATACTTTTGAAGCTTGAATGAAGTAAAATAACATCCCAAAAAAATTTATGAGTAAAAAGTATGACCCATTTGGAACGAAAATGAAGTTTAATTAATCTATTTCATTTGTTTTCTGGCAGCTCGGAAGGAAGGTAACAACAAAGTTCAATACGTACCCGTTGATTTTTGTGGATTTGAAGGAATTTTTGAGAGAGAGAGAGAGAGGTTGGCGATTTTAGTGTCACCAGGTTA